TGTGATCTTCTACATTCAGCATCATTGCATGTGTTTCGTGAGTCTGAAGAGGACTTTATAGATTGGTGTCAGACAAATGGGCTAATATCGGATTTATGGCCTTAATCTGGACTGGGCTGGAATGTTTTCTCCATGTTCAGTTGCTCTTGTATATAAATCTCTTTCTTATACACATATGTGTCTCCATGGATTTGTTTCTCTAGTCAACCCAGACTAACACATGGTGTGTGGCCTTTGTCACCCAGCCCCTCGCTTGTCTTAGTCCTCCCCCCTTCCTCCTCCTGGTAGAGCTTGTTGGCAAGCATGCAGGTGGGCCTCTGAAGCACAGGCTCTTGGACTGCTTCTCTGCTTGTGTGACCCTTAGTCTCAGTCCCCGTGCCGCCTTACTGGGCAGCTGCCCACAGATTGGCCAGCAGCCATTGGCATCTCCCCAACCTACAGGGCTACAGAGAGGCAGGGCTTGTGCTCATTTGCTTTTCAGGTCACTGGCCCTGTGGGCTTGCCTGTTTTCTGACTTGTCACTTGTATGCTGTCGATCTGGTTGGTTGTTTCACTTAATTGTAGTTGTGGTTTTTGTTCTGCGTTGTAGATGTCACATGTCACCTATTTCAAGTGTTTATCAAGCCAGTGATTAAAAAAAATTTTTTTTACAACTTGTGCAGCCATGCAAGCTTTAGAACATTTTCATAGCCCTATCAGATCCATCATGCCCATTTTCTGCTAACTTCTATTCATTCCTACCTCTTGTCCCAGGCAACCTTTACTCTGTCTCTGTAGAGCTACCTTTTCTGAACATTTTATATTAATGAATTAATGTAATCACTGGTGCCTGCCTTCTGTGGCTTAGCATAATGTTTTTGAGGTCACACTTCAGAGCATGTATCAGTGGTTTGTTACTTTTCTTTCCATTGTATAGATCAGGGGTCCTCAAACTACAGCCCACGGGCCACATGCGGCCCAACAAGGATATTTATCCAGGCTGCTGGGTGTTTTTGCTCCATTTTGTTTTTTTACTTCAAAATAAGATATGTGCAGTGTGCATAGGAATTTGTTCATAGGTTTTTTTAAAACTATAGTCCAGCCCTCCAACAGGTCTGAGGGACAGTGAATTGGCCCCCTGTTTAAAAAGTTTGAAGACTCCTGGTATAGATTTTGTCTATCCACTTTTCCACTCCCCTGATCGATCGATCCACTTTGTGGCTACTATCAGAAATGTATTAATGTGGACATGTGCTTTCATTTCTCTTAGGTAGAGTCTACTAGTGGAATTTCTGAGTCATATGGTAAATTTGTTTGCTTTTTAGAAGAAACTGCCCAACTGCTTTCTAAAGTAGCTGCCCCCCTTTCCTTTCCCAGCAGCAGTGTACGAGAGTTCCCCTTCCTCCACATGCTTGCCGACAGAAACAACTGTTCTTAAGGCCATTGGTACTCCAGTCACTGGAGAAGGAAAGCATGCTTGGTAAGACAGAGCCAGCGAAAGGAGGAGGCCTCAGTGAGATGGACTGACTGCACAGGGACTGCAGAGATGAGCTCGGCATTAACTAGTGTTGAGACTGGCCCGGCCAGGCCCGCAGGGCTTTGTTCCGTGGAACATTGGGTAGGGCGAGTCAGAAACCATTGTCACATTTCCCTACTGCCTCGTGGAAGGCCCTCAAGGTGAGAGACTACAGCGGGCTGCAGCAGTGAGCTCCAGCATAGGAACAGTTGTGAGGGTGACGCGGCCTGGCAGTGTTTTCTGTGGTGTCAATGGGTCAGAACTGGATTTCGGGGCCCCTAACAACGACGGCGACTCATGATGTTGAGTATCTTTTCACAGCGTATTAGTCATAATGTCTCTTTGGATCATTTGCCCTTTTTAACGGGTGGTCTCTCGTCCTGAGTTGAGAGAGTCTTGCATGTTCTAGTTACAGTGTACCAGATTTGTGGCCAGTCCTGTTTCCCATTCTTTTGCTTGCCAGTTTATGCTCTTACTGGTGCCCTTAAAGCATTTTGATGAGGTCAGGCTTTTGTTTTAATGAGTTCATTGTGATGGTGTGTGGTAAGGAGCTAAGTTGATTTTTTTTTCTGCATGCAAATATCCATTGTGGTCCCTCCCCCCCACACACACACCATTTATTGAAAAGACTATCATTCCCGCACCACCCCGCCACCCCGCCCCCGTCCCCAGGTCTACCTTTAAGTTAGTAAAGTGCAGTTGTTTGCATTCACATAAAAATGGGCTAGGTAGGATAGTAGTAGTTTAAAGATGAATGGAAGAAAACTCCTATTAATTACTCTAACACCGCTTGCAGATCCTTTTGGTCCTAAGTGAGACAGGTACCAGGTGCCAGATAAAACCCATAGTCCAGCCTGTAGAAATGAATGGCCCAAGGGAGTTAAAGAGCCACCTGCCTGTGAACATTAGTGCAGAATAATTCAGAGCCTGGGGCAGGCTGGCCAGCTGTTAGCATAGTAAGCTACAAGCAGAACACTATTACCTTTTTGAATTTTCCAACGCCCTGAGTTTGCTCTCTCAGAACCCTGATTTTTATCAGCACCTGTAGAACAAATCTAGTCTGTTTATAGGGGCAAGCACTCTCCTTAGAAAAACCCTTGTATAAAATGGAACGCAATTGTATAACTGTACAAAGAAACAAGTGTCGCTAAAAATGAAAGGCTGCAGGTCCTGATGGCCAGCTTCCTCTTTGCTTACAGAAGACATGGTCTAATCTAGGGGTCCTCAAGCTTTTTAAACAGGGAGCCAGTTCACTGTCCCTCAGACCCGTTGGAGGGCCGGACTATAGTTTAAAAAAAAAACTATGAACAAATTCCTATGCACACTGCACATATCTTATTTTAAAGTAAAATACAAAATGGGGCAGAAATACCCGGTGGACCGCATAAATGTCCTGGGCGGGCCGCATGTGGTCCGCGGGCCATAGTTTGAGGACCCCTGTTTAATCACAGCATGCATGCACACTATCACTGGAACTAGACGAATCGGCTTAGAGGTTACCACAGAAGTTTTTAGGAGAGCAAACCACCTGACCTTTCTCCTGGGAACAGCTAGTGGGTTGAACTAGTGGGCCTTGGGGTTAGCAGTCCAGCACCCAACCCACAATGCCACCAAGACCACTGACACTGCGTTTTTATAACACGTCTTACACAGGAAGTATAAAACTTGTGCTGCCCAGGTGCTGGCCGTCCTGAGGATGGTGTTGCCCGGGATCTTTCCTTGGCTCTGGGGGCTCTAGAAGCCACCAGGTTAGATGAGTATAGTGTGTGAAGGTCTAAGTTGAATGCTACCGGCCACTTCCTCTTAACTTCAAGCTTCAGTTGGTTGGTGTTGCTTCCTCTTGACTGGAGAGGCCAGTGTTTTCTTTGACTCCTTGGCGGAGGAGCACACCCAGCAGGCCTCACCTCTCTAGGCCTCATCATACGTCTGCCCAGGTCTGGGAGCAACGTTCTGGTCCCCTCACGTGCCTTTGCTTACTTCTGCTGTGAGCCAGATGATGCAGGTTTAACCTTGAGAGGCAGCATGCCTTTCTTGCTTCTAAGTCCTTGGGGGTGCCTCACTGTGTCTTTTGCTTTGATTTTAAAGTAGTGTCTCTTCTCAGTGGTAAATCTGATGTGGATTTCCTAGGAAAGGCAGTTGCCACTGAGTTTAGAGAGTAGGAGAAGAAAACCTGGATTTCTTCCCACCCTTGCTTTGATTGAAAAGTAACTCTTCAGTCAAAAGGGCTTTATAAAGCATTTGTTTTCCACTGAATCTTTAAGGACTTGTGCTTGATTGCCCCTGGCGGCACCCCTCTCACTAGGGAACCATCCTTTGGCTCAGAGCCCCAGGACCTTGGGGGGATCTGCCCCAGGCTCCTCAGAGTCTGGGAAGGGAAGAGGGAGCCACTAAGTGTGGCCCAAGAGAATCAGGCAAGTGCCAGGGGCTGGTGTGAATCACAGCCGCATTGGCTCCTCTAAGGCACACTCTGGTGCTGAAGGGCTGCACTCATCTCTGCCTGAACCTCTGCAGCTCCTTGCGGTGAAGGCAGTGAGTTCATGCAGCAAGGCAGGAGGAAGCACATCTGGTGTTAGCCTGCAGCCTTCGTGCCCGCCAGCATGTGAAGTATCTGGAGGGCAGTTTGTACTAGCTGGACAATGCCATTTAATGTTCCTTGTCCTGTCCACCACCCTCTGAATGCCGGTGTTTTCCTAGCGCTTTGAATTCTTAAAATGTGCATGCTCCACCAGATAACACGCATCCTCCAGGAGCAAAATATATATGTGTGTGCATATATAAATATGACCTGGGAAACACAAGCCTCCCTGAAAGGAACTTGTACTAACAGGTGACTTGTTCTACACTGATGAATGAGAAGCCTTAAGAACACACAGCCAAAACCTGCCTGCCAACCACGCAGGCAGAGCCAAAACCCAGATTGGATTCCACTCGAGCCCCAGTACATTTGCTTCCCTTCAGTGTGGAAAAAGGCCTGGGTTTTCTTGTCTGGTCTACATTTTAGCCTATACCTGCTAGGCTTCCCGACTGAGATAGATGGCTTCAGCAAATGTCACAAGGCAACGTTTCCAAGGCTGTAAATCTTGAGGTCACAAACTGCTCTCTTTTTCCCACATGGCTTTGAATCACCATCCTTTCCTTTAGCAACTGAGAGCTTAACCGCTGGGCCACTAAAGCCCCTTCATCAGCTGTCTATCTACTGTGTTTCCCTTAGGGTGAGAGTGACATCACCAGGGTGTTCTGTTCTCCTCCTTTATTTGTTCTCCATAAACTACAAACTGGAAGTGTGGGTGGGGGTTAGAGATGACTGCTGTGATTCATTATTGCCCCTTGTCAGGAGGGTTAAGAAGACAAATCAGAAGGAAATTACAGTGCTTCTGACCGTTTCAGAATTTCAGTATATATAAGTCAGGGTGATTACATCTCAACATCCTCTCTTGCTGCCTGTCTGCCCCTTTTCTCCTCAACCCTCTGAATGTAAGGCTGGAGGTGGCCCACCGGTTGGCCTTCACCATGTCACATTTCCAACCTTTGTTCGAATTCTGGATTCGAGCTTCTTTCCTGTCCCCTGCAGATGTCATTAAAGCCGTCAGCACTATTGCTGGGCATGAGGAAGAGGGCAGTCTCTGCCCGAGGATGGCTGTCTTTTCCGCGGGAGCCCCTGGAGTCCTCCACGGGGAGAGGCTCCGAAGTCTGAGGATTACAGACTTGGAATCCCAGAAGACCATATACACCTCAGGTACTGCAGCCAGCATCTGCCGTCTCGCCTAGCAGAGGCCCCTTGGACACCTAGCTCAGGCCTCTGGGCCAGATCCCCGGGCAAGAGCATGACTGAGAGGCACGCCCTGGCCTTAAGGACTCCCACCAAGGGCTGGAGGGAGGCCCTGCCAGGGGCTGGCACCCAGCTAGCTAAGTACACAGTTAATTGGGGAGAAGTATTCATTTGGCCTGAAATTTTGTGGCAGGTTCCACAGAGAGAAGGGCTTGCAACTAGTCAGCCCTGCCAGATTCCCAGTTCTGTCTCCTTTCCCTCTCTCCCAGGTGTTGGTGACAGTGAGGTGCTGAGTAGCCTGCAGGTCCTGGATGCAGACACCTTTGCCTTCTGCTGCACCTCTGGCCGGCTGGGACTGGTTGACATTCGCCAGAAGTGGGCACCATCTGAGAACCTTGGCCCCAGCCCAGGGGCTGGTGGAGGGAGGTGGTGTGCAGCGGTCAGGGCCAGAGGCCAGGGCTGTGGCTCTAGCATTGCCAGCCTTGGCTCAAATGGCCAGCTCTGTCTCCTTGACTCCCGGGACCTCTGCCACCCTGTGAGCTCAGTGCAGTGCCCCGTCTCCACACCCAGCCCGGACCCAGAGCTGCTGCGAGTGACGTGGGCTCCAGTCCTGGACAATTGCTTCGCCATTTCAGGTACTGCTGAGCAGAGCATTCTGCTTGTTGTGTGTTCTTTTAGGGACTGGAGGGGGTTCAGGAGGGAATCGCCAGGTTGGGATGGAAGAATCCAGATCTATGATGTTGTCTTGGGCTGAAGTGGGGCACCCTTTAGAGCCTGTCTTTACTCCAGAGGTCACATCTTCATAGGAGCCAATCTGGCCCCAGATGTTAAGGTTTCGACAGTGTGGCTCCTTAGCGCTGGCATCTTTCCCAGCCTGACCACCACAAGTACACATGTGTGCAGCAAGCCTTTCCCACTCCAGAGGCTGGTCTGAGGGGGGTGCTTCTCACTCGACTTCCTTTTTACGTTGAATTAATCTAGTTCCTGAGTTGGTCTGATGCTGTCTAGTGCAGTGAGGAGCCCTGGCGGCATAGTGGGTTCCAGTTGGGCTGCTTACTACATGGTCAATAGTCTGAAACCATTAGCCACTCTGAGGGATAGAGGCGAGGTGTTCTGCTCCCCTAAAGAGTTATCATCTCGGCAACACATAGGGGCAGTTCCACTCTTGTCCTGTAGGATCGCTGTGAGTTGGAATCGACTCAGTGGTAGTGAATTTATAGTTTAATGAGGGCATCTAAAAGTCAGTGGAAAGATTCTGCTGAGGCAGGCGTTGAAAGAATGCTTGAAAGAGCAAGAATTAACTGATGGTTGGTGAGGAATCCAGAAAGGCAGAGAGAACAAGGCTCAGGTGGAGGGGTGGCCTCTTTGTCACAGGAAGAGAGCAGTGGGGACAGTGGAGGGTGAAACTCCCTATAGGTGTGTTTCCCCTAACAGGAGATACAAGGGGACTCCCAAAAGTGTGTGGAAAAATGGAATTTTTCTGTGAACTTTTTGATGCCTCCCTGTGAGAAGCCGTGGTGGCATGGTGGATTACTTGTTGGGCTGCGAACCGCAAGTTCAGCAGTTTGAAACCACCAGCTGCTCCAGAGGAGAAAGATAGAGCCTTCTGCTCCAGTAAATTTTGATTTTAAAAAATGTAAAAGACTTATAGCTTTAGAAATACAATGGATCCAGTCCAGAGGGCCCCCAAGGAGGAGAAGATACATCCAGGGGGCACAACTTCTCTAGGTCCTTAATCCTTCCTCCCCCACTATTATGATCTGTCATAACTCGCAAACCCAGCTAGTCTGGTATACATACATTGGTGTAGACGAGAGTTTTCAATTTACGGAACTCAGGATAGACAAACCCCTCAGAAACAGTAACGGTAGTCAGGACTTCAGGAGGGGAAGGGAAGGTGGGGGGAAGGGAGGACTGATAGCAACAGTGACAAAATAACCCCCCTCAAGGGGGACAGATACCAGGATTGTAGATGAAGGGATAGAAGGGGCAGTGTAAGATATGTACAAGTAACAATACATAATATATTAAGGGTTTGCGAGGGTGGAGGGGAACAAGAAGAAATGATCTCAAGGGGCTCAAGAAGAAAGATAATGTTTTGAAATTGTTGATGACAATATTTGTATATGTCAGCTCAATATAAGGGAAGTATGGAAAATGATTTATTAATAATAAAAAAGAAATGCAGTGGGGCAGTTCTATAGGGTTGCTGTGAGTCAGAATTGACTCAGTAGCAGTGAGTTTGGACTTTTTTCCATAAGGCCGTCTGCTCGGAGGGACCAGGGAAGTGGGGGTTGGAATTTGGAGCAAACAGAGAAGATGAGGTCTCTTCCGCCTTTGTTTCCTACAGGAAAGAATATCTACTTCATTCAAAAAAAAGAGCCCTGGTAGTGCTGTGATTACGCGCTCAGCTGCTAACAGAAATGTCGGTGGTTAGACCCACCAGCCAGTCTGCAAGACAGAGAAGCAGCAGTCTGCTTCCTTAAAGATTGGCAGCCTTAGAAATCCCGATGGGGCAGTTCTACTGTCAGAAGGCTGCTGAGTTGGAATTGCACTTGACAACAACAGGGTGTTTTTCCCCATTTCATACATTTGTGAGGATTAAAAGCTCTCATGTGTCTAGGATTCGTCCTGGGTCTGGCATACTGTAGCTGCATAGCAGGTGTTCACTGTTAACCTGTAATGTCAGAGTCACACGCCCAATAGACTCATAGTTCAACATTTGGGGCCGATGCTCCATGCCCTCCGCTTGGCCTTTGAGGCAGGCATCTTGTATGTGATTTTTCATCCTATACTAAGGTGACCAGACGTCCCGCTTTTGGCAGGACAGTCCCGATTTTTAACAATTTTTCCTGCGTCCCGCAGCATTTTTAAAAGTCCTGGTTTTTGGAAAGAATGCACAAGCTAGGGTATACGGTTTTCGGCTGCCATGTGGCTATTTTGCCAGGATATGAGTTTTATCAATGGTGTCCTGCTTTACCAATGTTAAAATCTGGTCACCTTATCCTATACCCTATGGTGGTTTTGTCTGGTTGTTTTTGTTTTTTAATTTGTTGGGGGCTCATACAACTTTATCACAATCCATTTGTACATTTGTTGCCATCCTCATTCTCAAAACATTCTTTCTACTTGAGCCCTTGGTATCAGCTCTTCATTTTTTCCCCTTCCCTCCCCGCGAGCCCTTGATCGTTTATAAATTATTATTTTTTCATGTCTTACACTGTCCGATGTCTCTCTTCATCCACTTTTCTGTTTTGCATCCCTTGGGAGGGGGTTATAGGTAGGTCACTAGGATTGGTTCCCCCTTTTTCCCCCTACCTTCTCCTTCCCCTCCTGGTGTGGCTACTCTCATAATTGGTCCTGAGGGGTTTATCTGTCCTGGATTCCCTGTATTTCCAGCTCTTATCTGTACCAGGTTGGTTGGTTTCTTAAAGAGTAATTTCCACTTAATTGTCTTGCAAGTTTGTTTGTAGCACCAGCAAGTCTAAATTAGGGTGGGGTGTTTGGTCCTTCTGGGCATCACACGACTAGTTCCTGACCATCTTGCTGTGAGTAGCACAACACGCAATAATGTAGCTTCACTTACAGCGTGGGAAGCACATAGGGGCAAAGACACTTGCTTCGGAAAGGTTTCTGACGGCTTCGACCTCCACTATGTTTCCACTTCCTAACTAGTCTGTGCGCAGTGATTTTTTTTGGCACGACCATTGTTACACCTTTTCCTTGTTGTATAGGAAGTGAGGGCTCAAGCTGTTGTTTTCAATTGTAGAGAAAACTACAAATGTGAGGGATGCCATCTCAGTCCTCTCTTTCCTGTGTTTTTCCTCAGGTTTTGATGGAACAATCCAGGTCTATGATGTCACATCTTGGGGTGAAGTGGAGAACCAAGTCGAACCTCTCTTCACACACAGAGGTCACATCTTCCTAGGTGCAAATGAGCTGGACCCCACTCCACTGGTCACCACCCACCTCTGGCACCCCTGCAAACCGAGGACTCTGCTGTCAGCCGCAAGTGATGCCTCTTTGCATGTGTGGGACTGGGTGGACCTCCAAGCCTCCTGCTAGCACGGGCCCCTGCGACGAGGAGCAGCAGCTGTGTTAGCCAGGACCCAGTGACCAGATGTTCCTGTTACCAGCTGTTTGTTGACACTTAGGCAAGTCACTAGCCCTTCTGAACCCATTCCCTAACCTGTAAAATGAGGATTGGAATAACGACTTTGCATGGTGTTGGGAAGGTTAGAAATAATGTACTCAAAGCTACTTGACGGACAGTTACATGTTCAGGTACAGGTTACAGAAACCATTGCCTTACCTAATGAGCTTGTGACTAACTTAACAGCTTGTCTTCAGGAGAATATCTTGTTTGTATCAATATGCTGAAATACTGCCTGGTTTCACTCTTGACATGATTTCATTTTTATGTGTGTTATGAGTAGAGAGACATGTACATATTAAAAGTCTGTTGTATATATAGATTGTTTTTTAAAGTATCTGTAAATCAGGCTGCTAAATTTGCAAAACTAGTTTTTTTAAACACAGTGTGTAAGATTCTCCACAGTAGCTCACCTTGTGCATAAACAGGCGCTCCTTGCTCTGCGTTGTGTTCATCCACTCGTCTGTTGATGGACAGTTTCCACCTTTGGGCTCTTGTGAACACTGGGGTACAAGTAGGGGCCGAACCTTGATAGGGCAAAACCTCCACAAGAAAGTGATCAATGCAATGGGGTGAGTCCACCAAAGCCAGTGCATATAGACATTATGTGACACTAACTGCAACCTGTTAGTTTTCCTTAACATTATGGAAAAGTTTGAAATGTCAGAAGGGCCGCCACAGGGCATGGTTTGGTAGTTTCAAACTACTGGCCTTGCAGTTAGTAGCCTGGGTATAAGAGAGGAAGGAATTTGAAGGACTCTTGGGTTTCTGGGTTGGGTGGAACCGGGCGCTGCAGCTCACAAAGACAATAGATACAACAGGTGGCAGGTGGGGCTGAGTTTGGAACATGCCCAGTTTGAGGACCACTTAAACAGGTGTTTGGATTGCAGGGACAGCTAGGATATAAAAAGGCTGGAAATCAAGGAAGTCAAAAAGGTTGATAGAGCAAGGCCCTGCTCCTGGAGAAGTGGAGGTTAAGCTGTATAGATATGACGAGTAAATTGAAAAGCACAAGCACTTCTCTAGGCTGAGCCTGGAGGAGGCAGTGAGGGTGTTATATAGACACATTTGTTGCCTGGGGAGCAGGAGGCTAAGCAGGGAGCCAAGCCTGGAGGACTCAAGGGGCTATGAGGAGGCAAGGTGAGCCTGAGTCTGAGAATGGCCAAAGGCTAGCAGGCCATTGTGTAGATTTGGAGAGAGCAGTAAAGGAAGTCACAGGGTAAAATAGTTCAGCTGAGGTGTAGCCCAGGGCCAAGCTGAGGTTGAAGCCTGATTGTCCCTTCTTGAAAGTTTTGGGCCACTTCCAGCCAGGGGCAGGAGGTAGGTGGAGTGGGATGGGGAAGTTCAAGATGTTTTAACACACGTTAAAAGCCAAATTCACAAGAATGGGACTCCATTTTATTAAGCAATGTTAAGCATCCTTCCCTTACGAACGAACGAGGACCCTTTCTGAGCACCAGCCCCACGTGCAGAAGGTGGTTTGTTTCTCAGCAACCTAACTACTCTCTCCTTCCCTTACAGTAAACCCCTTCACCTGCTATCATACCCCGAGCCTCAATGTCTGGACACTCAAGGACCCCCAACACAAAGCCCCAGTGGCATGGTGGCATTCCCCCAAAAAACAAGGGTGAAGTTTGTAGGACAAACTCCTGACTCAAGCCCAGTGCTCTCCAGGGGACAGAAGATGTAGCCTCAAAAGTAGCACTTCCTTTAAAATAATGTTCTTCATATACAGACAGAATTCTAGATCTGCATATATAAAAATATACATATAAGAAGAGGGAAATAAGGGCATAGAGTACTGTAAAAATGGCTATGGGGTTACATATCTGTGGGGGCAGAGACACAAGCCCACCCTGCCGAGTGCAGGACTTCCCACAGGATGGCAAGCTGAAGCAAAAGCAGACACCTCTTCTGAGTTTAGACCCTTCTGTCCGACTCATCAAAGGAGACATTGGTTCTGGGCTGTGCTCCGTTATGTCTCTGCTCCTGACACCCTGTGGAAGTAGAGAGGGGCTTCACCTTCTTGTGGATGGCACAGAATTTGAGAAGGTCCTCTATCTTGACTTGCTATTAAAGCCCAGGACATCAAACCCAGGAAGGCTGGCTCTGACTCGGGAGGGGTCCCTGGAACGTTACGCAGCTGTGGTGAAGGGACCTCTTTGCCCAGCAGAGTCGTGACAGAACCACCAGAACTACCAGCGCTCTTTCTAGTGTCTCTGAAGACTCAGCCCATGATGGGAGCCAGGGCTATCTTCTACTCTGCAGAGAGAATCCATTCCACATTTTACCAGGGGGAGACAGGCAATCAGGAAAGAGTGAGCCAATCGGGTAATTCAGTGTAACAGATAAGGCCCAGCTCTTCCAGCCGCTGTGCCTGTGCTTTGCTCTTTCCTCTCCATGGGGTTTACCTTTGACCACGAAAGAGGGCGGGATCTTAGGAACAAGGATATGCAGGGGTGTCATTTCTGGCAAAAATTCCCAAAGAGGACTGTGGAAGGAGGGCTCTATGTAACAAGACACCAGACACCCTTGTGTTAAGGACCCATTTGGGGAGTTGTGTCAATTCCCTCACCTTGGTCAGCCACCCCCCAACCCCCAGTCACCTCCCACTGCCCCAATGTTTCTTTTGGCGATTTCAGCAAAGTTTCTCTTTCAAGTGAGTCCTCTGATGCGTAATAAAGTTGGAGCTATTGCTGAAGCCTTTGCCACACTCGGGGCACTTGTAGGGCTTCTCTCCTGTGTGGATTCGCTGGTGTATAATGAGAACGGAGTTCCAGCTAAAGCCTTTCCCACACTCAGGACACCGGTAGGGCTTGTCTCCCAGGTGGGCTCGCTGGTGCATAACCAGAATGGAGCCCCGGCTGAAGCTTTTTCCGCACATGAGGCATTTGTAGGGCTTCTCGCCTGTGTGGGTCCGCTGGTGCACCACTAGCTGGGAGCGCTGGCTGAAGCACTTCCCACACTCGCCACACTGATAGGGTTTCTCGCCCGTGTGGATCCGCTGGTGCTTAATCAGGTTGGAGCTCCAGCTGAAGCTCTCCCCACATGTCAGGCACTCGTAGGGCTTCTCTCCTGTGTGCATCCCCTGGTGTGCGATCAGACTAGAGCTCTGGCTGAAGCTCTTCCCACACTCCCCACACTTATAGGGCTTCTCCACCATGTGGGTTCTTCGGTGTGTGGCCAGGTTGGAGCTGCGGCTGAAGCTTTTCCCACACTCGCTGCACTGATAGGGCTTTTCTCCCGTGTGAGTTCTCCGGTGAGTGATGAGAGCGGAGCTCTGACTGAACCTCTGCCCACAGTCTGTGCACTTGTACGGCTTCTCTCCTGTGTGGATCCTCTGGTGTCTAATCAGGTTGGAGTTGTAACTAAAGCTTTCGCCACATTCTTTACATTCATAGGGCTTTTCTCCAGTGTGGATTCCCTGATGTGTATTAAGGCTGGACCGATTGCCAAAGCTCTTCCCACACTCGGGGCATGAGTACGGCTTCTCCCCTGTGTGGGTTCGCTGATGAGCAATGAGGTTGGGGCTCCTGCTGAAACTCTTGCCGCACTCGGCGCACTGAAAGGGTTTCTCTCCTGTGTGGATCCTCTGGTGGGTTATAAGGTTGGCACTCCTGCTAAAGCTTTTTCCACAGTCCCTGCATTTATAAGGCTTCTCCCCAGTGTGAGTCGTTTGGTGCCTACTGAAGTTGGAACCGTCACTAAAGCTCTTTCCGCATTCGTCACATTTGTAGTATTTCTCTCCTGTGTGGGTGCGCTCGTGTGTGATGAGATGGGATTTCCGGCTGAAGGTTTTCCCACACTGGGGACATTCATAGGGCTTCTCACCCAGGTAAGTGCCCTGAAGGCCTATAAGCTGTCCAGCTTCTCTGCCCTGGGATGCCATGTCCACGTGGTCCTCCCCCGGGGCATTGCCCTGGGGCCTCCTAGAGCCATAGTCTCTCTCAAAGTCACCACCCCAGGCACATTGCTGAACGTCATCCTCTTCAGGCATTTCTGAGAAGACCTCATGTGATTCAACTTCCTCGAACATGTCTTGATGAGAGCTCTCCCCATTTTCACTCTGGATCTCGAAATCTGAAACAATGAAGTAAAACATACCTTTTACACTCAATTTCCTATATCTGATGAGAACGGAAAGGCATACAAAGAAACTTTTAGTCAAACTGCTAGTGAAAATAACCACACGCAAACCCATTGCTTTCGAGTTGATTCTGCACCTACCATCCGTGTATATAGTGTGGGGCAGCACTGCCCCACAGCCTTCCAAGGCGGTAAATCTTTCAGGAAGCCGACTGCAACGTCTTTCTCCCATGGAGCGGCTGGTGGATCCAAACTGTCGATCTGTTGGCTAGAAGCTGAGTGCTCTGACCACTGTGCCGGTCGGGCTCAAAATGAAATGTAAGGGGAGGATATCCTCGAAATTTTTTAGAAGCAGATGTATTTCCTTCTTCTGGGGTATCTAGTTTCCAGGCCTTTGTAGACTCCCCCAGAATCTCCAAGTGTTAGAATATTTGGTTACTCCTCTACTTGTGTCTCCACTGGACAATGAGGTCACAGGAGAATTTGCAGCTGCTATTAGCAGAAAGGAAAGCAACAGGGCACACAATGACCCCAATACTCAGCATGGCTCCTGGTGCATAACCAATTGAACCCAGTGGTGTCAAGGGGATCCTGACTCACAGCAACCCCGGAGTGTCACTGTGTTCCACGGGGTTTTCAGAAGTCAATGAAGTGCCTCTAGGGGCACTTCCAACTATGCTGTTAGCAGCCAAGTGTGTTAACCATTTGCACTCTCCAGTGACCTCTGCCTGGCGCACAGTAGGTGCTTGATTAAATTGGATGGATGAGATTTTTATTGGTACCACAGAAATCTCCCTAAAGCTCAACCTCCTTACTAAAAGAGCAATACTCTTTTGCATTAAAATCTGCCTAGTGTTTGTTATTTGGCTTTTAAGTGAGACAGAGACAAGGTGGCAGGGCACCTGTAATAAAGGCTGTAGGTGTCTATGAAGAGGAAGCAATTAGGTTGGCAGTTGAGAGAGCCCTCCCTTTGTCAGTAGTGAGAGCTTAGACTGAATTAGTAATGCAAAATATCAACCTGTCAGGACCTCATCAAATTCTCTGCCCCGCGGTACCTATCAAACACTTGGGTGAAAGACATCATTCGAAAGGATTGCTGGAGGGATGGGCAGCCCTTTCCTTAGATTACTGTTGGGTGCTGCCAAGTTGGTTTTGACTCACGGTGACCCTGTACGACAGAGCAGAACTGCCCACAGGGTTCCTATGCCGTACACTTTAAGGAGCAGATCGCCAGGTCTGTCCCTCTCAAAACAACTGCTGGGCTCAAACGGCGGGCCTTTTGATTACCAGTTTGGTACTGAGCCATTGCCCAGCCAAGGCTGCTGCTTTAGACAAAACCCCAAGCCCAGTGCCAACAAGTCGATTTTGACACATAGTGACCCCACAGGACATAGTGAAAACCCCCATCGGGTTTCCAAGGCTGTAATCATTACAGAAGCAGATCAACACATCTTTCTCCTGTGGAGCCATTGATGGATTTGAACCATTGACCTTCTGGTGAGCAAGCAACCACCTACCCAACATGCTTAGGAACCCTGGGCTCCTTAGATAAGTGACTGCAAAACCTGTTCCAGTATTAAGTCCGAGTGGCAGAGAGCTGTTAGACACTAGTCTAGCTCTTGGCAGAGCTTTGCTTACTGAACTGTGTGTTGGTTTAATGGTCCTGGATGAAAATGAGGCAAGAAATAAGTGTCCTTAGAAATCCATGGCCGTCGGGAACATTAATGCTGCCAGGAAGTTGTTGACGACATTGTTCACACCACACAATTCCCTCTTTATAAGCCCAAAATGGAAATTTCTCTCTGACTGCAATACCCAAAACAACAAAACAACCCCCCTGCTTTTCTGAGCAAGCGATTTGTGTGTTTCGTGAACGACTGTCTCCCCTGTTCTGAAGCTCAGAGCAGGAACACTGCATAGTTTTTACAACATGCACTTTGTGTCCTTTCACTTCATTTCTCTTCCCATCATTTAATTTCTTTATGCTTTTCTGTAAGGTGCCTCAAATCCTTTGTAACTTGAGTACCAGAGTGTACAAAAATACATCGATACTTTCGTTGATGGTGATTATTACAATCAATGATTTCTAAGAATTAGTGAAATAATGCTATAACATCTTCATGGCATTTCTGTTATAAAGGCAATAAACTATGAAGGTTACATACTTGATCTGGTGCTAACTAGTTTCTGCAAGTTAATGTCAATTTCAAGGTAAGGGCATGATAAAACGTCACACGCCTCTGTCAGGCAGGGTCCAGCCTCCGCTTACTCCTTTAATCAGGAGAAGGTCTTCAGTGAGCATGCAAAGAGATATATAATTATACTGAGTACTCACGCTAAAATATATTGCTGCTGGTAACCTTTGGGCTCAGATAATTGTCCTCCAGTCCCACTCCCCAGATCTCCAGGATGTAGACATAGGGGGGGACAATGCATGCCTCCACTTGGCCAGGCCCAGAAATTCTGTGCATCAGCTTCCTGCAAAGCAGTTTTCTTCAAGTTTCTAGCACAGAGCTCTACTACGGTAACTTACAAAGATCTCCTGGCCGGCGCCCTTGTCGTGAATTAAATTATATCCATCCAGAATATGTGTCCACTTGGCTGGATTGTGATTCTCAATGGTTTGGCAGTATTATAATGGCATGATCATCATTGCCCCTGTCCCGCCCACCATGAGATCTGCCAATCAGTTATAAGGGGTTAGGGTGGGATACAACACTCTTACTCAGGTGACAGCCCTGATCTATGCAGCTTTTCCCTAGGACATCTTTTACCTTTATAAAAGATAAAAAGAAGGGAACGACAAGTGATCCAAATTGGTGAGGAGGGTGTAGGAGACCTGGTAGGGTATGATCAAGGGTAATGTAACCAAGAGGAATTACTGTAACCTAAATGAAGGCTGAGCATGATAGTGGGACAAGAGGAAAGTAAAAGGAAATAGAGGAAAGAGCTAGGAGGCAAAGGGCATTT